TTGGTTTGAAAAATGGACTGACGCCGTTCCGTGCACCCTCCATCGGCATAACACATGCATACTGTATGAAAATCCCAACATCGATCTCAATACGTCCCCCTGCGTGCAGTCAATATGTTCTTTTAAGAATGAAGCCGTGGCCATAAACCCATCGGAATATGTCCCCTCCATGGAAATGTGCTGACTTGTGCAGCAGGAGGCTTGAAAGAGGGGATTGTATTAAATGATATAGGGACACCTTGAGGAGGGAGATGGACAGTGAGAGGAAGTGAGCAGGTAATCTGTTCTGCTTTATTACATGTTAAATGGGACACATTCACCCTCTCATATCATTCCTGCCCCTCCCCTCAACCTCGTTTTCTGTTCTCTCCTAAAGGAAAACTTTACAAAGGAAGTGAGAAGAGCTTTAAAGAGTTTCCTCTGCTTCTCCGACACCTCTTTTCTCCAATATTCTTTCTCCAAAGACACCCCACGCTTTCTTTTCTGTCCTCTTGTCTCACAAACACACACTGGCCGTCTCTGTCGCTCTTTCTCTAAAAAAGCCCCCCCCCCCTCCGCTGTTCTTTACCTCTCTCTGCTCTGTGCTTTATGATTTATGGCGCAGAGCTGAGAAACTGTAATGTCAGTATCTAAACCAACCTCCTCTCTTTCATTCCACCCTCAATCAGTGAATCAAGGCAGTGGGGACTGTGTGTGTGTGTGTGTGTGTGTGTGTGTGTGTGTGTGTGTGTGTGTGTGTGTGTGTGTGTGTGTGTTAGGTGGGATAAGGTGATGTTATAGAGACCTTTACCGCTACTGATAGCACAAGGCGAGACCCCTATATGACTGTTTAGATTTACTGTCTCTGTGGTACAGGGGTGCAGCACACTCACATACACACACACACACACAGAGCGAATAATAACCCACTGTATCTGGCTAGATGTCTCTGTTTCAGATTCCCCCTCTCCACATGGTGTTTTATTAAATATCCCATGAACCACTGGGGATTGAGGGAGGGAATAAAGGAGAGAGGAATAAATGGCAGATATAGATAGTGAGACAGAGAGAAGGGGGAAGTGGGACATTTATTGACCGTGTCTGGTTCTATAACCTGTAAAATAAGCTTTTGATTTGTGTGTGTAGACATTTATATCGTAGCATTATAATTTTTTGTCTTTGCGAGAGCCTGTAAAGTATGCATGGGTAACTGACGAGCGTGTGTGTGTGTTTGGCTGTCTGTGTTGAGTAATGTGTGTGTGATGGCTGTGTGGGTAAAGAGCAGCAGTGTCACCAAGAGATCCTAGATGGGGTCACAAGATGGATCTAAGGGGTCAAGAGATAAGAAAAAAACAAAATTTGTTTTGGTTTTGTGGTAATTCTTTCTCAGTTTTTCATCCTGTAGCATCTAACAATCATTCAAATGAAGTAGTCTGACTTCATTTGAAGTGCGCGCAACTCCCGGACATGCACATGATGTCGTAAATAGACATTGCCTCATAAAAAGGGTGTCCGGCGCAAAGGTTTGGAAACCACTGGCTAAAACAAAGAGGACCGTATCTTCTTCCACCAGAGCCTGTTCACCAAAACCCTAACCCTAATTCTACACTAGAACCAAACCAGGTCTGGCCTTCACCCTTTTTTCATTTCCTGTACATCATTTAAACACAGTTTATAAAAAAAAAAAACAAAGTTTAGTTTTGGGAATGTGACACTGTCCCTGTTTATGAATGCCTTTCTACTCAGGTTACATGGGAACTGGATGATTCATTGTTGTTTTCAACTATATCTATAATTATACCCAATGATTCCCACAGTAGAAAGACCTACCGTCTATTCATTTAAGTCTACATTGAAGTATTTAATATGAATTCAAAATTCAACGTGAACAACCTCATGTTTGTCTTGTTTCGTGGGCTACTTGATGTAGGTATGTAGTGGTGATAAATGGAGATTACCTGAGACCAATAAATGACTTGGAAAAACAAAAGGCTTCTCTTTTAAGATAGTATTGCTAAGCTTTGAAATGAGCACATACTTTGTATTTCATGACTTTTTATGGTTGAGTGAGACAATGTTGGCAGGTTTCATTCATACAGGGTAAAAAAAGGGTAATCTTCTTAATGGCCTTTTCATGATGTGACATGTCTGTCGTTTTGCATCAGCTCACCCTGCTGCATAGCACTATAGCAGTCTTATTGTAGTAAATGACATGAGGGCACCTAATGTAAAACTGAGGGGGAGGGAGGGAGAGAGGGGAAGAGGGGAGGTGGAAGTCTTTCCCTCACCAGCTCCATGTGGTTGGCATCATGAACTTAATGTTAATCTTAATGATAGATGATAGAGGATGCAGCGCGCTGCCGCAGAGTGTGTGTGACAGTGTTATTGTCTCCATGATTAACTCAGCCGCTGTCTCAGCCCCTTCCTCACAGGGAGCACCAGAGAGCCAGCAAAAATGGAAATACCACCGTCTAGTTCCTCATCAAGAAATGCTCTTCATTTCTCTACACACCCCCCCCCACACTTGTGTTCTCCCCTCTCTCTCTCTCTCTCGCTCGCTCTCGTTCTCGCTCTCTCTCTCTCTCTCTCTCTCTCTCTCAGAGGCCATTACTGGTGATAAACACTGTGGTGTGTATCAGCAGGATGCACCTGGCATTAACGCAAATGCTTAAGAAAGTAATTAGTGGGTGTATGTGGCTCCCCTCGTCCCTGTAGATGCCCATAGGCGGTGTAATAAATGAGCGCCAGGATCCATAGGAATAGGATGGCAGCGGTTTCTGCTCGCACCGCTGTCATCGTTCAATACCCCGACACAGAGCAATGGCCTTGTTATGCCTCCTAGCAAATGACTGAATCTCTCCCCGATGGATCCCCAAACACAGAACCTTCTCCACACCCACCATCATAACATCCCAGTCTGCGCTCAAGAGTTGTAAATGCCAGGAATTTCTCAGGGTACGGACCTACCCTGGAATCAACCAGCGATTAAAAGAATAGCCCGACATTTTGGGAAATGTACCAATTAATTTTCCTGCAGAGTGAGACGATCAATACCACCGTCATGTCTATTCAGTAAATATTAAAGTTACAGCCAGCAGCTGCGTAGCTTAGCATAAAGCAAGGAAGTGGATAAGACATTTTCCCAAAATGTCAACCTATTCCTTCAAGTGTCCAAGTTGACTGTTTTTATTCTCTCAACTGTTCCTCACTAGCTTCACGGGGAATATTCCTTGCCCTTCTTGGCAACTGAGCACAGCGTTGGGCACTGAATGATGGAGTGTATTGATTATTCTTACTACGATTGTGAGTACCTCTCATGTTGCCACAAATTGTCACTGACCTGCACTCACAAGGACTATAGATTTTTCCTGGCCTACCTAACAAATATGACTGTGGAGATACACATATGTACACATCTTCACTGTGCCATCTTCCTGCTGCATTGCACCCTGGGTAATGACCCATGCGACCAATCCCCTGCTTTTGTATCCAGTGGGGGGTAATTTCTCACCCCGTGGGGCAAATCAAACATCTGATTGTGACTACAGGGGCTCAGCTTCGCCCCCAATATTCCTCTGAGATCTTAAGAGTTGCTGACGGGTAAAATCTCTTTCTCTTTCACACCCATGCAAGGCGTGTTTAGTGAGGCAGATGGAGTGTCCTGAGCGCTGGTGTGAACAAAACGATGACACCTCCATTAGCATAATAGCCCGTGCGTGTGCATGTGTTGTCATTATGGATTTTTATGGGGTGTGTGCAGAGACAGACAAAAGCAGTTAACATTGGGCACTGGTGGTACGTTGCACTGCTTAGATTGGCTGAAGGATCCAACTCTTGCATCTCACGGAAGTCCCATTTAAATGCACTGAAGTTTAGCATAGCATCCATCATTAGAAGTACTAGCATCTGGATCATACCAGCTAGCACTAAAGCTGTAGCAGAACCTCAAGGACAGACTCGAGTGTGCTAAGCTAGTGAAGTGTAGCCTATAACCAGACAATTTGCATTCACAGTCCACAACAGCAACCTCCACTTGGATGCGAAAAGATAAAATTTGACATTTAAACCAGTCCAAGGTGAAAGCTACCCAGTTTGTAAATGGTTGACACTTTCAGCGAGCCATTCTGAATCAATGGATGGATTCCTTAGTACCTAGTAGAGTGATCAATACTCTCTCCCTTAAGGCCTTTTTAAAGGGTTTTTGGTGGTAAGACATGAGAACAAGGGACTAATTTACCAGGAAGGTATACTTAGCTTGCCCATAATTTTAACTCCATCATCATTATCATCATCACAATAAGTAAGCTTTATCGCTTTTCCAGATTAAACCAGCGCTCTCTCCTTGTTCTGCTCTGCATCGCACATCGATTCGCAGAGCTAGCTTCTCTTCTGTGCAGTCCCACAGCGCTGATGGATCTCCCTTTTCAGGGGCTGAAGCCATTGTTGTTAGCTCCTTATTGTCCGTTTTTAGAAAAACCCTCTGGCCTCTCTGTCGATAAGTTGTAATGCACACATCGACATGGTCATCACAGCAGGCTCTTGAGGTTGGACTGACCTTTGACATTCATCCCGGCAGATACAGTAATGCCAATTCTTGCTTCAGGTGTTTTGCACTGGAATGACAGTAATGATAGAAAAGATGGGGTGTACACACACTGTAGACTGCAGTGTAGCTCAGTGTGCTCGAGCAATGCATGAGGTCTCTTGAGAGAAAACGACCAGCGTTATGCTCATTTTCCACACCAACAATATGTCTTTATTCCTCTCCTCTTGCTCTCAGTCTCTATATCTCATACTCATTTTGTCAGACCGTCTGCATTGGCCATCTTTATGCACTTAGCGTCCACCTTTCTGCCTTTGGATTCTCTTTCCTTTTTTTTTTTTTTTTTTACACTTTTACCCCTTTTCCTTAACTCTCATCTCTCACACTTTTTCTCCTGCTCCTTCTTCTTCTCCTCCTCTTTGACACCATATTTTTCCCCCTTTTCACACTATTTCTCTCCCCCTCCTCACCCCCGCAGGCGGTATGAGATGTATCCAGTGTGTGCAGACCTGCAGGGCCAGATCCTCGCGTGCTACAAAGAGAACGTTGGAAAAACCCTCCACTGCTCCAACATAGCAGCCCTTTACCTACAGTGTGTCAACAACACCAAACAGGTGCGTATTTACCAAACTAAGCTATTTATCTTTTATCATTTTGTCGTATCTCATCATTTGATACACTACACGAGCATCTTTTGCATATGAATGTTACGGGTATGTGTACTGCATACTTGTTAAGTGAAATGAATGAGCATGAGCGTACAGCTGTACTCTTCGCATGTGAGGAAAATGCATAAAACTTTGAATCCTTAAAAACCCTCCAAAATAACCCATGTTTTTCCCTCTGAAGAATGACAAGTACATGCATGCACCCTCATGGACAAATGATATGTAAGTTGTAGCGCTTCTTAATCCCATGGTGTAGCTTTCAGTTGAATTGATGTTTGCATTACAAAGTAGTCCCGTGTGTGTGTGTGTGTGTGTGTGTGTGTGTGTGTGTGTGTGTGTTAGCTCCAGCAAACATCATTGGGCACAAAGATGTGTATGGCAGCTACAGTAGAACAGTCATTCCCTTTTATAAATGTCTGAATGAAACGCACTACACACACACACACATACACATACACACAGGCATCCATTTCCATGCACCAGCTCTTTGCTTTTAGACAGGAGAATATAATTTCCACAGGGCTACTGGCGCCCGAGTAAAGCCCACTCTAAATAGCCAGTTTAAACCTTCCAGTATATTTCCATAATACCTGCTGACACAGGCGTTCCTCCGACTGTCTCTGTGTGTGTTTTAATGTAATAAGACCAAGGGAGTAGCCGCCGCTAGTTGGATAGCATTGTCCTCCCTGTGTTCTCTCCTTTCATTGTCAAGTACAAATGTTTTCCTGCCCTCTGTCTCCCACGGTCACACACTGTATGGTAATAGTAATGTCACTCAGGTTGATATTAACTTGATTCCCCCCTCTCTCACTTTGCAATATGTAACATCCATTGCCCCCAAAAAGGCTCAATTTACATTCATAGAGCTTTTCTATTAGATTTTTTTTTACAATTACATTGTTTTCCCGGAAATGAGTAAAACTGAGCATTGTGTCTCTCGCTCACTCTCGTGGGTATTAGTATTAGATCTAAAAGTCAGATGCAGGCAGATTTTTAAGCTATACATCATGTAAATTGCACAATGTTTTATTCATCGCGTGGATGGATGTGTGTGTGTGTGTGTGTGTGTGTGTGTGTGTGTGTGTGTGTGTGTGTGTGTGTGTGTGTGTGTGTGTGTGTGTGCGCGTGCATTTAAGAGAGCTACCTGTAGCCTCGTCAAGATTCAGCAAGGGTACGTTCACAGTCCGGATGCTGTTATGATCTTGTAAATTGTTTTGGAAGCAAGCCTGAGACGATATGGTAATCCACTTGTGTTTATCACCCTGCGGCAATCACAGCGCACTCCTGTTCATCTGCGCTTATCTGCCTAAGACTTGCTTTTAAAGTCATTAGGTGCAAAAGAAACAGTTCTGTGATAAGGCTTTAAAGGAATAATATACAGAATTACACAGCTGACAAAACGAGGGAAGGGTTGAAATGTGATTGATATTGGGTGTTGCAGATTGACGATTAGGATGTTTACACAGTTTTATCAGAGCCGAGCAGGAAGCTGCACTGAGGACGTACAATGTGTCAAAGGACATGACTTTGACCTCTGGAGGTCAGAAGATCCAAACGTGTCCTCTAACAGCCGTTTTTAATCTTTTTACCCCGTCTATCAAAGACACCCGATAGCATAGCTCAAACAGCAAAATCTCTTTCTCCTTCTTCGTCCTTTCCCTTCAAATCATAAATTCGACTAGAAGCTGCAGCACCGTGGGCACAGATAGGGATGTCCAAGGTGCCAGCTCACTGAGGATAAAAACCAAATCCCCCCCCAAATCTCACTTTTACAATATTGACCCTTGAACTGGAGACAGCTGAGACAAAGGCATTGTCAGCTGCCCAGCCTTTGTCACTGATAATTAGCGTTCATATTGCCACAGTCAGTGATAACATTTAGACCCACTTTCGCTCTCCTTTGCCTCTCCTTCACTCCCTCCATCCGCCATCCCTTCATCCCTAGTCACAGCATTTAACAGGTCCAGATAGCGAACAGCGAGGAAGCGGCAGTCGAAGGACAGATTAAGTCTCTCTCTTTCTCTCTCCCTCTCCCTCTATGAATAAGAGTTTATCATGGAGGCCGATCTCTCCATCCACTGCTTGCCTCCTCATTCCATATTCTCACTGCATGACCGCCTCTTGCTCCCTATCTTTTCCTTCTCCACTTCATTTTTTAGTCTGACCCTTCTTTCTCACTTCTACTCTCAAAGGGCCGGGCTGGAGCCCTGTTTGTGGTTTCAAAGGGTGTTATGTTTGCAAGGATTGAAATGAAAAAGGATCTGGCTCACATAGCTGCTCCTACATCATCTTTAATATACAGTGGCAAGAAAAATAAGTCAACCCTTTGGAATTACCTCCATTTGTGTATAAATTTGTCCAAAACAGACAAACGCAATCTATTTTATTAATAACACAAATCATTGTCTTGTTCTTGTCCATATTAAAAACATCACTCAAACATTCACAGTCTCTCGGCTAACGGCATTAACAAAAGCTAACTGGAGTCCAATCAGTGACTGGTGATGTGGGTGAGAGCTACTCGTCTTTTACTGCAATGAAAAATTGCATAAAGCTGAGAGTCATCTCAAAGAGTTTAGATATTCATCAGTCCAGTCAGACAGACTGTCTATAAATGGAGATGATTTAGTTCTGTGGCCGCTCTCCCTAGAAGTGGGCGTCCAGCTATGATGACTCCAAAGGCACAACGCAGAAAGATCAGGGAGGTAAAAATGAAGCCCGGAGTAGCAGCTAAAGGCTTAAAGGAATCATTAGAGCTACAGTTAACACCTCTGCTCATGAGTCTGCCTCATGCAAACCATGCAACCGTGTGTGGATGATATCTCCATGCAACCATGCACCATTATTAGAAACAGCTGGTAAGCAAGACACAGATAGACTAGGAGACGCACTTCCCAACTAGGTTAGCAAGACAGGCTAGAGAGAGATGAACATCAACTTAACGTTACTGTTGTTTGCGACATCAAAGTAGGAGAGGTGAGAACAGGCTTCCTGCTCATGGTGGGTGTTTTTTCTCTTATTGTTACCGGAAGGAGAGTTCTCCCATCAAAGGTTGATGGGCACTTCTTAACTTGGGTGTAGGACCGGCTGAAAGACATGCCAGCATCAATATGGTGCAAACAATTTTGAACCGGTTCTCCTGGAACCAGTTCTCCATTCCCATCTCTAGCAATACAGATTCCTGCAGACAGTTTTACGCCAAGCAGTTGATGGGACTCAAGGATGCACACAATGCATTTTGATGAAGTTTGTTAGTTTACAAGAATCCTGAACCCCTGCACCTCTCATATTTTTCCCCCATTGGAATTCATTGTAGTGATGCTGCCATGTTCCCACATCTCAGCAGTTACCTTGGTGCTGTAGATAAAGTTATCACAACCACTAGAAATAAATAAGACCCAGGTTGTAATAAACTGGAATCATCCTTTAAGTGTTTTCTTCACAGTCTGCTTTTTTGTCTCAACGTGCACTTTACAGTGTGGTAGACATGCTGGGAGCAACTGTTTTTATTGATAACCCTTTTATGGTCAGATCGATCGTGCGGAAAATAAACTCCCGATTTCTTTGGAGAAATGAAATGTTACTGACATGGACTGCATCCGATTCCCAGCACCATTATTAAGTTGGTCAGTGTTTTTCCCTTTACTTTCTCTCTCCCTTATTCCCTTCCTTATGTCCCTGTTTCATCTGCTTTTTTTTCCCCCCTTCACTCATCTTCTCTTAGGCAGTTTTCATCCAGAGGCATCAGCTGCAATAGGCCGGTTCAAATGGTTATTGACAGGGAGTGCTGGGGATTTGTGGTTGCACTTAACAGCTAACATGGAATCCACTGCCCTCTGGTCCTTTCTCAACTCCTCCAACTCACTGCATCCTCTTCCATTTTATTGTACTCTCAGGCCTCCCTCGCTCTGTCTCATCTCCCCTTTGACGTAATGTCTTTCTCTTCTGTTTGTTCCCTTTTTTTGTTTTTTTGATTTGATTTTGTTTGCCTCTCTGTTTATCTAATGCACTTCCCTCTCTGTTTTTGTCCGTAGAACAAGTTGAGGACTGGGGGTTAAGGAGGACACAGGAAGAAAGAGAGAGCAATGAAGAGTTTATTGTGCGGGATTACTGATTATCGACCGACTGACAGACAGACCAAACCGGAGTGGAAGAATAGAGGAATGAATCAGCACCGACACAAACACACACACACCTCCTCAAAACCCTGTGACCGAACCTGACTAGAGGCACCGAACACAGCACCTTGAGAAATAGACACCCTCTCCCTCGATTCTTATCTCCTTCCCCTCCTCTCTTACCCTTCGTCTATCTCTCCTGTGAGAATTGCCGAGAGGCGGTGATGCTGTCCGCCATTTTGGAGACACGACACAGCGGTGACCACGGGACCCAGCAGGCCTGAGCGCGGCTCGCTAAAAGGACAAAGATGAACCGGAACCAACTCAAAGAAAACCAGCCACCTGTGTCACAAGCCACTCGGACCTACCCACGCTCACTCCAACACCCTTAGGAAAATAAAAGTTTATTTTTACTAATTAAAGTCAGTCCTATATTGTTGTCATTAATTCATTGTTTTCAGGCTCCTAGTGCACTATCCTCTACACAGATACACATGTATGCATCTGTTTCTTCTTTGCATCTGTTTGTGTGCAATCGTGTTATGTTAATAATGTAACGATCCGCGTGTTGAGTATTCATCCAGACCAACACTTGTGACAATGTCTGATCAGAGGAAATAAAAAGACGAAACGATGCAGGAACTGTTGTTGAACTTTTCTCCATAAATATTCAGCGGGCTCTGTCTCTCGAGCGTGAGTGTGTGAGTGTGTGAGTGTGTGTGTGTGTGTGTTTTATGCTAATTACAGTAAGCGTTGTACATCTTTGATGGATACGCAGCCCTCGTGTTGTCACGGCGACATTTTTCCAAACAGAGTGAATGAGCCCAAGAGAGGGGGACTGAAGCGTGGGGGAAATATTCGTCCCAGATGTTCTGGTTCATCGTCTATCTTTCTCTCCGTTTCTCGATCTGTCCGTCTGCCTGTCTGTCTTTCTTTATATGGCTCTGTTGTGTGAATCCTCGCCTATTCAGTGAAAGGAGCGGGGGATCTCTACCTCTTCCTTATCCGCTCATTGTCCCTCTTTCCTTTCACTTATCTACTTCTTTCTGCCTTTCTCTGCCTCTCTTCTTTCTTTCTCGAGTGTGTTTCTTCTCTGCTCAGTCTCCCAGGCTAATGTTGCCTTGGAGGAGACGGCTTCTCCACGCTGTCTGCACTCTGCCAGACTCCCTGGGCTGGGTATAACAGGATAGACAGACACTGTATGTATATGTGTGTTTGGTTTGACAGTGCGTATGTGTGGGTGGGGTAGTAATGCAGCCATCCACGCACTTTTTATAGATGCAGTAACTGTGTGTGTGTGTGTGCGTGTGCGTGCGTGCGTGCGTGCGCGCGCGCGCGCGCGCGCGCATTTGACGCCCCCACCTCTGAGTCCCAGGGACACCATCTGGGTTTGATGTGGAGGCAGGTGATCGCAGACCAGACATTATCTTAATTCCGCATCAGAAGAAGAAAGTGTGTGTATATGTGTGAGATGGACAGAGCAGGAAAGTGAGAAGCGAGTGTGTGGGTCTGTGTGTGTGTGTGTGCGCGTGTGCGTGCAAGCATGTGATTCATTGTGACTAATCCCCCTCTGTCCGTCAGTCAGCTGTCCTTTTGCTTTTTGACTTTTGGAGTCTCGGAGGGGTTAGGGGTTGACTTCTATTGTACACAGGGTGTGTGTGTGTGTGTCTGTTTGTGTGTTGGAGGCGTTTTCTAAAGGGTGGGGATAATGGGTATTGGAGTTCATGGCAGGTGTTTCTCCACAGAGCAGACTAAGCCCCATTTTTTACATCTCTCTTCCCACTTGTTTTTCCCTCTGTGCCTGACACAAGCACAGACTCCTCAGGCTGACCCAGTGCCTCTCAGCCCAGATAAGTGATTTAACGGTGTATTCTGTCTGTAATGAGATTATATCCCCTCTAATATAATTAAAAACATGATTATAGAATCATGAGATCTAAACATAGGGCTAACCTTGTCCTTTAAAAGGCCTCTGCCATGACCTTAAGATCCTTTTTTAGTTGTAAACTCTATAAAAATACTAAAGTCACAAAGGAGGAGCAGTTTGAGAACAGTTTACTTCTTAAGTTTGATGTATTGCCTGAGAAACAGTCTATTAGAGAAGGACATAATGCAGAGTCAGGATAATTCAAAATTAATGTAGTGCTATATTAGCTGTAATTTATATACACACCTTCTGAAGCCACCGTTAAAATCTCATTTATCAGGTCGTAGAAGTAATGAGATTTGGATGTAAAGAAACATTTTTTGGGGGAATCTCTAATGGAATAAGTGTTAGATAATAACAGAGTGAGGTGGGCAGACAAGAAATAGCTTTTTCCATTTCAGTGCGACTCCAGCAAGTGCGGATGAGATTGTCCTTGAGCACTGAGCAGCTCCTAAATACTGAGGTGAAGATGCCTGGTGGCATCAGGCAGCGTTCAAATTGTGAGTTCTTGAGGGGTCCCCCCGGCTGCTGGCTGCGGGGCTGGAGCGACGGAGGCGGTCGAGATTGGAGGGGACAAAAATTGAAATACAGTAAAAGGTATTTCAGGTGAAGGTGAATCAAATTTGGCTTTTATTGAGGTTTATTTTTTCTTTTTTCATGGAATGAATAGGTGCAAGGTGCAGGTTATACACAGTTATAAACATGCAAAACACAATGTTTTCCATGTTACTCAGTATTTAAGAATAAATTCTTTCCAATCAAAATATGAAACAAATAATAACTGATCATATTTTCATTTAGAATAAGGAAATGTTTTCCATGTCGTCCCAGTTTTTGGACAACCTACATTTGTTCGGTGGTTTGCCAAACAGACACATTAGCATAACACAACTCACACAACATAGAACACAGAACAAACTTGGCTGCTGCAGCACAAAACAACAATCCATAATATCTTATGGATATAAATATAGTAACATACCAGAGTATGATAGAGTTTTGCCCTCCCAATCCCTAGAGAAAATCACTGATGATGAAACCACTTCCTCTTAACGGAAGGAGGAGTGTGGTTAAAATCCGTCCGGATAATCTCATTACCAGGACGGTATCGGTGTCAATCTTACTGTCGACCATGAACTGGAATAGGCTGGTAACATCGTTAATGTCTCTTACCTGTGACTCATTCACCACAGCAATGTTAGTTTTGTTTCAATAGTACATAGGTTCTTGTGACTTAAATAAAAGCATGAACACTCAAAAAAAAAGAAAAAAGGTAGTAGCACAGCGAAGCGGATGCCAAAAGTGCTGTGCTCGTACAGCTGCTGTAGTGTCTCAGTGAAGTCCCATGTGCACCGAGAAGGAAACATATGAGTGAGAGAAAGATTTGATGACCTTTCATCTCACCTCAAAGCTTCAAATCCCCACACATACACCTTTACCTTATATACTGACTAGCCTCGCAGTTTTGATATATTCTGGCATGAGTTTTAAAATATAGATGCACCAACTTGTCAATTAGGACTTCCCACTCCATTTTAAAGCCTCTGGAAATAAGTACTAGTCAGTGTTCTCTGATGCTTATAATTATTTCATGCTATTCATTGTTCATTGTTCATAACTACCTCACATTGTATCCTTAATGTACTCTGAGACATTTCACCCTGCACTTCTTCCCGTACAGTATGTCACTTTGACTGTTATTTATATCAGTCTTTAAGTGCTCTGTGCCATCTGTCTCTGTATGAACAGAGGAATTTTGTCAGCACCAGTTTCCTGTGTTGGACCGTATAAAGCGATTAGGATAAAGCTACAATTTCATTTCGATGCTTTTATGATATTTCTGTCCTATATTGCCTCTGTTGTTCTCTAAAGAAACTTCCCCGGAAAAAAATGCCAGAATGCACTCAACTCTGCAATACAAAAGACAACGTCCTCCACCACGATGACTAATCACATTTGGTTTAATGACCTTCTCTGAAGAAAAAAAAAAAAGCTTTTCCCTTTAAAGTTTTCCCCACACTCTGGCTCTTATCCGTCTGTGCGTCTCTTTGTGCCTTTCAGTGTCTCTCGGCACATTCTATCCCTGTTCTTCTGTTTGCATTTACTCCTTTTTGTTCTTTTGTTCTGTCTCACTCTCCCTCTGCTCTTTTCCTTACTTTTCTCCACTTCTTTCTTTCGCTCACTCTCTCTAACTCATCCAGGATACTAAAGAATACGACAGCAGCCTGAGGGGCGGATCTGCCGGCAGTGATTGGCTCTCCTTGCTTGCCAATGAGGTGTGAATTCGTCTGCCACGCTGCTGTTACTCTTCTCTGAGGGCCACCCTCGCCTTCATGCACGTCCATACACACACACACACACACACAGTTTCATACAATATGCTTCACACATATACAAGCGCTTGGCAAATTCATTTATCCACACAAATTAAAAACACAACAGGAGACACTGCAAAATGTGGTTATGGTTATGTCTCGACGATGACACCTTGTCCTGTCCGGACTTGAGAGTGATCATACACATGCACACACACACACACACACACACACACAAAGAAATGGTATTGGTTGCCAGCGATGCCAGTGGGGCCTGCAGATGAGAGAAGACTGTCATACACTCCATTCTAGTAATGGGCAGGCAGATGGCAGGCTGCTCTGTAGCCTCTGCTTAGGCTGATGGCTCTATTTATCAGGCTGCTACGCCCTTCCTGCAGCCCTGCATCGGGCTACAATTTATAGAGTTCTCTCTCCCCTCACACTTCCCTCTGCTATTCTCTCCTACTCTTATTTATTTGTTCTTTTTTGTTCTAGTCTGCACCTCTTCTCCTATTCTCTCTGAGTCTGTGCTGGTGTCTGTCGGCTTGGCGCGATCAACAGCCGTTTCATTCCAGCGAGAACTTCTGCTGCTGGGGGAGTGAGTTATTGGCTCAGTGTTAGAAAGTACTGCTACCTTCCCTTTTTTTTTTTCACCCTCCTTTTTTTTTTTCTGGCAGACCGAACTTTTGGTCATGCAAAGACTTTTTAGTGGCAGAGAAAGTCTCATTGGACTGAATGAAACTTTAATGGTTTTTGAGCTAGAGCCAGTTTACTGCAGTGCAATCTAACTTGGAATTAAAAACAAGGAATTCAACATTTGGGGAAGTATGCTTAATTGCTTTTTTCACTGAGAGTCAGATGAGTACCACTTTCATCTGTTCACTGAACACAAATCGGCAGCCAGCAGCTGGTTAGCTTAGCTAGCTTAGCATAAAGTCTGGAAACAGGTGTCTTTCGCTGAAGGTAAGAAAAGCAGCACTGCTGATCTATTACTGGCCACAGGAGCAGCAACTTCTTTAAGCTCCCATACTGTAGAAAGTTTTTTTTGATTATGAAGCAGGTCTATGTGTTATATAAATGATGAGAAAGTCAGAAATTGTGCCTTGAAACGAGCCATCAGGACTTCTGGACTTGTGATCTCACAACCCGGACCCACCTTTTTCTTTTTTCTTTAACACCAAATTGTCATTCTGACGCTAGTAAGCTAGTAAGCTAGTAAGCTATGAGACACAAAGCCGATATACATGTAATATTGTGCAGCCTTCCCAAGGACACTAATATGAGAGACCAGTGGCTAAAGTTGTTCAACTCATTTCAGTGCTGACTTACCATCGCCATTTGGTGAGTTTTACCAAGCTACAGAGATAGGCTACGGTCCATTACCTGTGGTTGG